ATGCACATATGCAATTTCGCGCAGCTTCTAATAGTTAGTCCTGTACCTGAAATCAATTGCAAACACAGCAGCAATTCACATGTGTAACATGATTACTTTTGCTACCAACTTGATTTTATATTCTTGAATATGTATTACCCTACTCCCCTCTCTTCACTATTAATACATTTCCCCTCCCTTCTGCTTTTCTGCATGATGAGTTCATGACGCAACATCTCCATTCAACAGTGGAAAGCACAAGATTATTGTAATTACATGCATGCGTTCTCCCACCCAAATTAGGAGCATTACATTTGTGACCCCTAAAATGAGAGAGCAGCTATCTCTTAGCAACCCATAGCAACAATAAAAACCTCATAGTCGAAGTGGCTCACACTGGCACATTAGTTGGGAATGTGCTTTTACTTTCCGCCTGCACAATTTGCATTGTTGGAAAATAGGTGAAGGCGCCAGGCAGATGGTTTAAATTGATTCTTCTGTTCATATAGACAGAATCCTGAAACATACTGCCGCTGCCAAAGTAGTCTGCCTCTGGCATTACTGCAAAGGCTACACATAAAGATGAAGCGATGTGTTCAATGAACAATTACTGTGGATTGATTGAAATATAAAACATAAATGTGCATATGTGCTTAAGATATGGCAGTATACATGTGGCAAAATACATTTATTAACAAGTGATTGATGAGTGTATTTTTGAATAAATTGTATTGTATATATAAATTCCTGGAACCAGCTTAATTGGAATGAGTGAAATTATGTTTCTAAATTGTGCATTTCTGAGATTTGCAATGCATCATATAAACTTCCCTTTCACCCTCACCTCCCTGGTCTGTGAATGCCTGTGGGGATTAGCATTTTAGCCATGTATGCAAACATTTTGGAGGACACCAAATCCGGGGGCCCAGCTAGGTCCCTACAGGAAACCTGGGATTCATCGGTTCTGCATTTCCTCAGCTTCGTTGACGATGTTGGACACCATCACAAGCATGTCACATCGATGAAGCTAACTCAGAGGCAAGCGGAAGCAGGAGCATACGTTGTGGCTGGGGAGCAGCGGTCCCTGGTGCAAAAAGGGAAAGGTCGGAGGTGGGGAGTCTGGGACTAGTTTTGCTCTGTGCGTTTGAAGTGTTTATGATGCTGCAAGAAAGAACATGGAGCTATGGAGGCCATCTATCATACCAGCATTCACATTTAAGGTACTTTGTTGCTGCATAATAATCCACAGTGAATTAGGGCCTTGGTGTTTTGCTCAAGGATACTATTTGCTTGGCCCCAGTGGAAAGGAACAGTGTCATATACTATTGTATTGTTAGAGCAGAGACACGTGATTTTTTGAAAGCATGGACTTTTTTGTCCTTGGCTATATGTATTACTTGCTTCTCATTAGCTAACTTTTACCCAACCTTTTTGAATGTTCGAATGAGGAGGTTAAAAGGGGTCACTTCATTAGAAAGATAAAATACAGAGTTCATGGGCTGAGTACTCCATTTTGCTGTTCTGTTTGTGCTCCACAGGCTTAGTCAATCACCATTACCCAGTGTCAGTCTTATTTGGTCTTTGCTGCTCGCTCTGGTGTTTGTCCTCTTTCTTGACCACCTATTAACAAACAGTGAGATAATGTAACTAAATACACGTTGCTATAATAAGGGGGATTTATTCAGTACTTGGAGTGAATCAGGAAGATGCTTTCTCTTCCTCTTGGCTTGCATGCTGATTAATGAGTGAAGCAGATTTTATCTACTTTGTTATTAACTTCTCTCCCTCCTTGACTCCTCTGCTCCCTCTCCATCTTCCTCTCACACATTCCCAGAGTCTTACCTCACCTAATGAAGATGTGCCTCCAATCTTTATTTTCAGCCCTGCCTTTTCTTCTCTCTCAAAATAGCTCCCCTGATGATGCGTGTTTCTTAAATAAACCCGATCTCTGAGATGCTCATTTTTCCCATTAAAGTTCCACTCTGTCTCAGTGCAATTCACATTTTCCTTTCCCTGACACGCATACTTCAGGTTATTTACAAATAATTGTCTGATCTATTGTAAGCTACCAGAAGCAACACATTTTCTTTCATGCAAGCCAATACAGTGTCAGAAAGTTGAAGGCCATTAAGTATTGTTGTATTAGTAAGAATTGCTAAAATTGGTGTCAAATCTTAATTCTTTCTATATTAAATTAATAACTAACTTAATAACATGACTCACAATCAAGGGTGAATAAAACATAGATGTAGTCTCCTTGACGTCACCCATGTTTACAGCCGGGTACATGACAACTGTACAGGGCTACATATATCTCACCTGTTTAAATTATATTAAGGCTTAAAGTTATGCATAATTAGGGACGTGACCACTGTGACAGGTGGGTGCCATCCATAGGTGGCTAGCCTCTAGCTGTCTGCTAGCTCCACCCACACTCCATCTCTTTTCCCATTTTTGGATTAGCCAGCGTAAGGCACTGCCAATGTGGCTGATAAATAAATGGAAAATAAATTTTATGGGCTTTGAGGGGGAAATAAGTAAGACGTACTTGCCACTTGTCACTGGGCTACTGCTTAAAAACAGGCTTTTTTTGTTGTCTTACTTCTGATCACTAGTTTAAAGATTTACGTTTTCAACTGCTTAACAACACAAGTGGGCATAATATTTATTGTTGGACACCTTGTAATAGGTTAAAAAAATCAATGCCATTTACTCAAAGATAAGTTATCCAGGCTCTGAGATTTTTCTTGCTTTCAAAACACTTATTCCTGCTCAACTACAACTCAAAACCACTTTGAAACTACAGTTTCAAACTCTGCTGTAATTACATGTTGCCTACTAATCATATGCTGCTGTAAAAGGCAACATATGCTGGTAATACACCTGCACGCATTACTTTCTGTGTAAGCCCATGCACCAGTGGTGTCTTGAAGTGTAACGACCTAGGATGGCATGCTGCACCTCGGGATACGTTACTGTCCAATTTTATAGAGCTGATGTGAGCCAACTCTTAAAAACAGCTGCAATATCACACAGTCACTCCCCTGATTGGCACATCTACTGTACGTTCTCTACTTCTGTTGTTTGGATAAAGCGACACATGTGTGTTGCACGCTTTTGTTAATAGAGTGGGAAAGACTGTTTTGACTTTAATTCCCACTTAGGCCTGTAGATGTCAATAATGGCTATAAATTACTTACAAATGCATTTCATAGACTTCACTGTATTCATATGATACTGTGGGACTAATCATGATGTTCTCAATCCCGTCCATCTGGTGCCATAAGGCGGCTTTAGTAAATGTTGACAGTTATTTGCAAATAAAATATTTGATCCAACTCTGCATGCTCGTGTGTGGTGTCACTACCTCCGGACACAGTCTCTCTCACTCTCTCCAGTTTTGTGTCTTGGGTTACAGGGTAACTGGAGCCATGTTAGTGTGTGGCGTTCATCAATCCCCCAGAGGATCTCAGCTCCATGTTATGGTTTCCATCAGTCTTGTGCATAACTGGGAAGGTGTGCGTGTGTGCATTTGTGTGGGTGTGGGTGAGCGTGTCCTATTCAGAGTGGAAGTTCACACTGGCCAAGAGTTGCCAGTTATTCTTAACCATGATGATTCAGTTGTTTTGCTGTAATAGTGTGAGACAGAGGAAGTGCTTGACAAATGCTGCAACTCAACCGCCTGATTTAAACACTGTTATAGTTTATATCTGTGATATTTCACGTCAACATATGAAATCATTTGTTTTAAATACCACTACAGTTATATCTGACCTCTTTTTTTACATTGCATTTATAGTAATAATTTCTCTGAATTTTGTTAAATGCAAGTATTTGCAAAGCATACTGTACACTCTGCCGCCTAATGTTTCATACTGTTGACGGTACATTAAAAAAAGGAATGTCCTTCACCCCTGATCTAAGCCTCTCACCATGAATGTCATACAGTGGATGTTGGAGGTTTTAAGTCACCACCAATAAAACACGAGAAGGTGATGAAACAACAAACAAAACTGCTCTTTGACCTGTGCTTTCAACATGCTGCAGGACGAAAGGTGTGATGGGCCTCATACATGTGGGAAAATCACTACATATTCGTATATATACTTTGTTTACCGTGGAGTTTTAAAAGAGCAGGAGGACCAGAAAGGGTGCTTCTAGTTCCCCTTTCTGGCCAACCCTGGATGTCCTAATATAAAGATATCAAAAGTTTAATTTTTCATCTCTATTTAACATTTTTAAAAGCAAGCTCTCCAGTGATTATATTTTCTTGACTTGGCAATGTGTACTTACTGTTCTACTCCAGTTGGTCAAGTTCCCAAACCAACACCTGCCACTTACGTTGATGAACCAACTACCTTGAAACAGCATCTAGCCTGAGGCTGAGGGTAACAAACATCTCCTTAGCCACCACAGGAACCGAAGGAGCAGACAGTAGCTAAGTGCAGGAAATCAACAATAAAATGCCAATTATCTCCAGGTTTTTCAGTTTCACTGTGCTTTCGTTCTGCTGTTTCTGTAGTTGCAATGACTTCCTGGAGCTTAATAGCAACAACTCAGCTTAGCACTGACTAATAGTTTATGATGCAGAACATCCTAAACATTATTGATAAAAACGGACAGAGAGATTTAAGCATGTAGTAATGACTGGGTAATTATGTGTAAAATGTGCTGTTTTGTATATTTTCAGGTCACTAACATAACACTCAAGTTCACTTTAGCGCAACAGTATGGCTGTGACTGAGCAGTGAGTAAAGATAGTTTTCACTCCTGTATTTGGTCTTGAAATACAAAAAAAGCAAAAGTGATCAAAACAAGTGATCATGTAAATGGTATGAAATAATAATAATCATAAATGTATTAAATTCATAGAAATTAAGCATAGCTAGTTCAGGCTGAGCAATGAAGTTGTATTGTGCAGGCTGATTGGCTGTTTAAGCTGTTTTCAGTATGCTTCACAATGATTGGCTTATTCACAGATGTCCAATCATATTTATGCAGGTGCACACTGCGGAAATTATGACCTGTCACTTATCACCGTTACTCTTCTGATTATTCTCATGTCAAGGTGACCTGACACAGTGCTTGCTTCTCATTTTGGGAGACTTAATGAAGGAGTAAATAATCGTCTGGCTGTCAAACAGCCAACACTTCAGATGCCAGGACAGAGACCAAGTTTTCCTGTGTTTGCTGTCGGACCACAACCACTATGGCAGGGCCCTTTACACCGGATTTTGACTCGTCATCGTTATCCCGGGGTCAGAGCTAAGTATCTACTGCTGTGTTGATAGTGCTTTCAGTCATTGCTAGTGATATGGCGTAGCCTATTTTGGCTTGTACGGGCCTTGTTGGCTTTGCAGTGACAGTAAGCTAGTTATGGCTTCATTTCTTGGCTTAGCTTCGCTGCTGTGGCGTTGCTGTTACTTTTCAGTTTGTGATGAGTATCAGTTATTGGCATTTATTACTTCTGCCTGGTTTCAGGTGATGTTGACCTGCTAGCTGCTCAGTTGGCTATTATGCTTCTGAATCTCTGTTTAATAATTTGCATTGGTAGTAATAAAAAACGTTTTATTGAACGCAGCAGCTAATTTCTGGTGGTGTTGTCTGACATGTGCTTGTCTTGTTGATAACACCCACAATTATAATTTAATCACTAACTTACTGTATACAGTAAGTATGTATGTATGTGTATATATATATATATATATATATATATATATATATATATATATATATATATATATATATATTTTTTTTTTTCCCCCTTGCCTGTCTGAAGTTGTTTTGGGGGTTTTCTGTTAGCTCAGCTATGCTATTGAGCTTATTACTACACAACTCAGACTTGGCCTATGGCTGTTCATCGTAATAGAATCGATAGCTGATGTTGCAGATTTGGTTAGCTTTAAGAAAAGAGAGGAGGCCTTAAATAAAAGCAACATGGGCCCTATTTCTTTAAGTAGTCTTGGTACAGTTTAGTTGTAGAATACTTCCCTTGAATCAAGAAACTATTAGTATCTTAGTAATCAATATCATTGAGTTACATCTCAGATGAGAAAGGTTTTGCTAGCATTCGTGGAACTGCAGCATGCTTGTTGTAAAGATTCAGCTGATTGGCTAGTAACTTCCAGTCTTAATCATGCAGGTGTACAGCGCAGAGATTATAACCTGACATTTATCACTGTTACTCTGATAGTTATACTCATGCCAGAGCCGTTTGCTCCTGTAGCTTCATCCACCAACCATGTGGTATTTTGTATTGTTGATTTAATAAAGATTAAATTATTAAGGGAATTGGCTCTCTCAGCAGAATGCTTCTTGCTGCTTGGATTCTTCTTTCCCTCAAACAGCAGAGCCTTTCCCACCAAATCTAACATTATAAGCATTTGCTATAAATGGACAATTCCCTGACGTAATTGCCTTAGACTGATTTAAATTTGAAATGCAGCATGTTTCCTTGGGCAATATTATGATTATTGTTATTATTAAACTTGGGCTTTAGCTAGTAGCGGGTTACTGTTATTGCTATAACACATGAAAATATCTGAAATCCCCTGTGACCTCAGTGTCACATGACCCACATGACATGTGTAAGACAGCAGCAGCCTCGGCCCTGACAGCCAGTGTGGCCAGCTTTGTTGTGGTCACCGCTGACAAATCAAAGCTCTCTGTTAAGTCTGTGGTTTTGCAAGGTCAAGGTCTCGATTGAGGTTTTTCTCTCATAGGATTAAGACAGCAGAACACGCTCCTTATTTTTCAAAACGGATGGCGTGCTAATCTGAGAGCTCCCTCTGTGATCTTGTGACCACAGTTTTGGGGCTGAGGTAGCGGGTCACTGAATCGCTCCCGGTTAAAATAGGTTTAACCCCTTGACCCCTGTGCAAACCACTACTTACCCAGATGAAAAGTGTTGCTCAGGTGTGTACTCAGTAGACCACCTTGCTCTTCAGAAGTAGCGGAACACTGTATCAACGCTATAATTTAGACATATTCACTGAATACGTTATGATACAATGAAGCAAGATAACTTCTTGGAAGTAAAACTCTTGTCTAAACACAACTTTGATTCAGAGTGTTTGCTATTAATTTTAATATCTTATATGTTTCTATGAAACTCTTAGAAACACCCCCCAAAGACTCTAACCTTGAAAATACTGTACTACAGTAGCCACAAGTGTAGCGGTTCCTTGGAGGTGTCCCACCTAAGAATATGCATAACCTAGCAAAAGGTCGCCCCTGGCCTCTACTAGTTAGCAAGCATTCAGTCTGTTTGCCTGTGCACCTCTCAGTGATGGCTCTTCTCCATTTAGAGGTGCCAGTGAGCAAGCTTGACAATGATCAGTGCCTGCATCAACTGTGAGTGGAATGCAGCCATTATGAATGGGGATAAAATGTCTGTTTTGAGGAAAGGCTGTAGTTGCGTATAAATGGTCAAAAATTATCTTATTTACCTTGTGTGTGTGTGTGAAAGGCTATCAGAGCAGTGGGTTTTCTGTAAGCTAATGTAGTTACTGTTTAGTTAGCCCATGTAGCTTTAAAGGTAAAGAGACTCTTGCTCCTAGCAGTGTGAAAATGCCGTGCTGTATTCATACAAGAGTTCTCATCTTTCTCCCACATACAGACTGTTGGATGTGGATTGGGGTGCTGAATATACACAGTGTCAATGGAGGTCTGGGTAGATGCATCATCCATTGTCATTTTGCCATTATTTATGAGTGACAGCAGAGATATGATCAGAGATGTGGCAGAGTAAATCGGATTCCCAAAGGTCACAGGCAAGGTCTAGGGGAGGGGTTCATTATAGCAGATTTTATCGATGTCCTTCAATCGTGTGTGTGTGTGTGTGTGTGTGTGTGTGTGTGTGTGTGTGTGTGTAAGTGAGAGGGACAGTGAGTGCGCGCAGGGGCATTGGTCTAAAGACAGAGAAATACCACAATATGTGCATAGTAAACTGTCTGAACTACTTGTGTTTACAGCAACTGTTGTGATGTTTCCTTGGTGGCTCAAAATATGCGTGCTTGTCTGTGTGCCTTTGCGTGTTTGGTTGTAGGTGTGTTCATCTGCTTTTTTGCCCTGCGTAGAGGGGAGACCGCCACAGCTGAGTGGTTAACAACTGGTTCTAGTGTGTGTATGTGTGTCTCTGCTGTATTCTCCTTAGATGGAAAGAGGAAAGGATTTGGACCACTGGTGGAAGGCAGCCTAATTCCTTCTCCCTCTCCTGGCCTTGCCCTTATTTCACAAGTGTGACTGCAATTTGCGTGCTGTCTTCGTGTTCAAATGTACGACCTCTGCTGGCTTTGCTGAACAAAAGAGGGGATTGAAGGTAGAAGGATCCATTGGGCCCCATCAAGCCTAGTTCCTCTGAGCGCCACTTAATTGATGCCAGATCTTCTCAGGGGCCAATACTAAATGTATAAGGAGGAGGAGGAGGTGGATCACCGCAGTGTAACTTACTATATATGTTCATGATGCTGAATTAAGTGTTGGCATGAAAATCCCAAAACCCATCCTCTCCGCTAAGCACTGAGGCTACACAGTCTGGGCCTGCTGCATGGAGACAATCACACTGTGTGTGTGTGTGTGTGTGTGTGTGTGTGTGTGTGTGCGCATGTGCACGAGTCTGCACAAGGGCTTTCTCACAAGTGTCAGTGCCTCACTGTGGCGTGAGTAAGTAGGGGGTTGACCCCATCTATCCCTGGAGAGCATATGGATGCAATCACGCAGAGTGAGAGAGAAAAATTATAAGAGCCCGATTAGGAGGAAAAAGAGAGGGAAACAGAAACATAGAGAGAGAATAAGAGAAGAGCGATAAATTGGCATCTGGCTTGTGTACTTGGAAGACAGAAAATCTCCCTAATTCCTTGTTCTTCCTTCCCTTTATGGATTTGCCAGTGGAGGGTTTTGGTTAAGTCAGGCTGTGATGGTTTCCTCACCCGCTCTTGTTAAGAAGGCGAGGGATGATTGTGGTCACTTTGATTCCACTTTTTGGACATGGCCAGTAGCTAATTAGCACAGAAATAGCACAATCCCATCCTTGTTCTGAATTATAGGATACAATAACTTGGTAGTGTGTGCCATATATATTGTGTTTATGAGGCTCTGAGAGCAGTAGGGAAGAATGAGAGAGGCATGCTTGACTGACATTACACATTTGGAGTGTAATGGAATTGATTGCCCTGAATGATCAGCCATAGTTTCACTCCTACTTTTAATACATATATTCATGGCAGCCATCACTCCTAATCGGGACTCTTTCTGGCATGTTGTCACACATGCAGTGCCCCACATCCCTCTAGTGATTCTGTTCATTTAGTCTGATAAACATCTCGGCGTTCTCAGAGTCCATTACTTGCAATTTACTTCTCCCCCCGGCATGTGGACACTGGCAATTCTTATTGAAGTTACCTCACACGCTTGCGCGTTTCAGGCTGCAGGCTTTGCAGTTTACCAGAAAGAGAAGTTGTTAAACTGACTGGCTAAGTAATCACCAGAGAGATACCTTAATTAGTGTATCAGTGTAAACATAGCCAGTTACGCTTTGAGATTCTTTCCCTGCATTAGCCAATATCCACCCGCCCTAAACACTGCATATTATTGCCTTTTTCTTCATTTGTGGAAGTACTTGGATTTTATCATTATCAATCAACACCACATGCTAATTTGTCAGTAAACACACGCTCTAATTATATCCTGTCACACTCAATGAAACATTCTCCTTCTGTTTTTAACCCACATTTCAAGCCTCTCTGTGTCTGAACTAGTGCAGCTAAAACAATGAACTATGGTCCTTTTTTACTTTTTTTTTGACTGGTAGGGCCTCTTAAAAAAGTGACTTGTTTTGGGGCTATTTGCATGTCAGAGTCTGAGGAGAAAATCAATGATGCTAATTAGTGTTCCAAAGGCAGACTTTGCTGTGCGCTGATTACTCTGAACTAAGTGCCAAGGGATTAGGGTGGACTTGCCTCACAGACTCATGAGGCAAAGGAGCTATTAATTAGAGAGCTGTTGTGTGTGTGTGTGTGTGTGTGTGTGTGCCTGCTTGCACATGTGGGTCTGTGAGAATGTACCATTATTTTTGCGTCAGCTTTTCTTTGTTTGAAAGACTAGATCCAATAAACACTGACTGCACTGTGCGGCGCTCTACTCCTGTATGTTGATGCATTGCAAACATTTACCTGCCAGAAACAGCGGGGTCAAGCAGGAGGCTCTCCAAAGCACTGCTCAGGAGGAGAGGTGTGTTTACGTATGTGATTATCGCTTT